CTCTGAGAGTCCTGGATAGGTCTCCACCCTAAGCCCCTGACTCAAGAGTCCCTGAAGAAAGGAGCCTAATTAATGTTCCTTGGCTCCTTGCTCCTTTCTCCAAAGCGCCTTCTCCACTCCTGCCCCATGGTGGAGGGATTCTAGGCATCTCCAGACCAGCTTAACTCTGATGAGGAATGGTAACAGCAAGGCTGAGGGGAAAGGGTGCTGGGCCACGACCTGGGTTCCAATCCTGACTCTAGATAGCCTGTGAATTTGGGCGAACAAGCACCACTGTCCCTATCCGCACGATAGAGAAGTTAAAAAAATGCATGGCCTTCAGTGGTTCAGTGGTTAATCTTCCAAAAACCTTCCATCTGGGAACGTCTTCTGCAGTACAGGATCTGGACTCTAGGGGGCGCCTCTTGCACAAGTCAAGGAACTCCAGGAGCAGTTTGGCACCTGCATGGATAAGGAAACCTCCTAGGAGGCCATGGGTTCCTAAACTCCAGTTAAACTAGGCCAAACTCAGGGAAGAAAATAGTGTTCCCCTCACTGTGTGACCAACCAAGCAGCAGGTGCCTGTGTCCAAGAGAGAGTACTGAGGTAGGTCTGGAGACCAGGGTCCAGCCCCCTGCCAGACATCCCCTCACCACCTCCCCGGCTCACTTCCTCTCCTGAGACCCCTTTTTCCTCATGAGGAATCTGACTTGTGGTCGTTGTCGGGACATTTCCAGGGGGCAGTCTACCCCTGAAGGAGCCCTGCTTGCCAACGGTAGGGAAGTAATTATAAATCAAAATGCTTGTCCTCAGTCCACGCAATGAGGGGGGGGTGGAGCCCTCCCAGGCCCCCACCAGCTCTGAAAGTTCCTGCCAAGACTTACAAGAAGACCCGGGTAGGATTTGGCTAGAGATTCCCTGTGATATAGAGGGTTGGGGAACTGGAAAGGCGAGGCCTCTTGCATGCATGTTTGGGTCTTAGAAGACTCAAGTGACCTCAACAGGCTGATACTGATTTGTGTGTGTTCATGGAAACACACAAGCCCATGTACATACCTGTTTGCATGTGTGTTTCTCTGTTTGTTTGTTTTGTTGTTGTTGTTGTTGTTGTTGTTTGAGATGGGGTTTCTCTGTGTAGCTTTGCGCCTTTCCTGGAACTCACTTTGTAGACCAGGCTGGCCTCGAACTCACAGAGATCCGCCTGAAGCTAGGCAGCCTCTTGTGGACAGGCCCTGTTGGGCCCACGTGGTACAGAGAGCGCGCATGGAGTGAACCTCACCTTGCAGGACCCTTTGACAACTCTTTCTTTGTCTTTCAGCCCATGAGGCTCCCAGTACCCACTGAGTGCCACCCTGAAGGATGTCCCAGCTCTCCTCCACCCTGAAGCGCTATACAGAATCTTCCCGCTACACAGATGCCCCTTATGCCAAATCGGGCTATGGCACCTACACCCCCTCTTCCTATGGGGCCAACCTGGCCGCCTCCTTCCTGGAGAAGGAAAAACTTGGTTTCAAGCCGGTCTCCCCCACCACCTTCCTCCCACGGCCCCGAACCTACGGCCCCTCCTCCATCCTGGACTATGACAGGGGCCGCCCCCTGCTGAGACCTGACATCATCGGGGGTTGTAAGCGGTCTGAGAGCCAGACCCGGGGCAACGAAAGGGCTTCAGGCATCGGACTCAATGGAGGCAGTGGATTCCCGTATGGAGTGTCCAGCAACTCCCTCAGCTACCTGCCCATGAATGCCCGAGAGCCGGGGGCGACCCTGAGCCAGAAGAAATCGAACAGCCAATCAGATCTGGCTCGGGATTTTTCCAGCCTCCGGACCTCAGATAGCTACCGGACTTCAGATAGCTACCGGTCCTCAGATGGCTACCGGATAGACCCCGGGAACCTGGGCCGCAGCCCCATGCTGGCCCGCACGCGGAAGGAGCTCTGCGCCCTGCAGGGCCTCTACCAAGCAGCCAGCCGCTCTGAGTACCTAACGGACTACCTGGAGAACTGTGGTCGCAAGGGCAGTGCACCCCAGGTGCTCACGCAAGCCCCTCCCTCCCGAGTCCCCGAAGTCCTCAGTCCCACCTACCGACCAAGTGGCCGCTACACACTGTGGGAGAAGGGCAAGGGCCAGGCCTCCGGGCCCAGCCGCTCCAGTTCCCCGGGGCGAGACACCATGGTGAGTTTACTCTTGGGGGTCCCGTGATGGGCTGGGGAGACAGCCAGCGTTATAAAGGGCCAGGCTAGGAACAGGACTCCCAACCTGACTGATGATTGTGGGCAGCACTAGTGGAGACGAGCAAGAGAGGTCCAGCCAGCGTGACCGGTGGCCCCATGGCCCGGAGCCGGGGAGAAGGGCTGACCCATGCTCCAAAGACCTTCTTCACACTTGGGAACGGTCCAAAGATGCTCTAGAACGTTCAGACACCCCTGCCTGGCACTGCCCTTCCCACCCTGTGCTTTCCCATCCAGAATGTCAGGGTCCCAGGTAGGTCCTGGTCCATCCGGGGCTGGATGCCAGAGCGGAGGTGACCGCAATGCTCTCTGTGTGAAGAGAGCCATCCTCCCACCCCATCCCTGCTCTGGATGTTTCTCCTGGTGTCCAGGCATGAGATATCAAGAGTAGGAGGACACTTCCTCTGCTGCCGCTGGCATTCAGATCCAGGGTATCCAGATAGTCGGATCTGGGTCTTTGGAGAAAATGGTGCAGGGTTTTTTGTCTGGGGATAGGGATGATCTCATACCTCAGTACTCCAGCCCTGACTGGGCTGGAATGAGGGAAGAGGCTATGCTGGAGATTGACCACGGGCTGGCATGGTCTCCCTCACATCTAATCCCTGAACACACCTCCCCTGGGGCAGTGACTACATTCCACCTCTCCTGTAGTGAGTGCTGTGTCCATTAGGTGGCGAGCGCTCAGAGATCTAAAATGATCATATCTCTACCTCCCTCCCCGTGTGCCTCTGGCAACTCGGAGCTCAGCTGACCTGCTGATTGCATGGATGGATGGATGAGTGACTAGATTGGGGGGGAGGCCGAGCTGGGGGAAGGGAGGGGTGTGTGGGTAGATGGATTAATGGGCAGAACACATACGTAGGCAAGCATGTGAGCAAGAGGGGGGGGGTGCTGTGTTCTCTGTTTTCCTTGTGTACCCCTCCTCATAGAACATACGTCCTCTGTAAAAGAAAGCTACCCCAGGAATGGCGCTTTGGAGGGTTTGTTCGGATAAACAGAGGAGACATTCAGGACTTGGGGCCATAGTTGGGTCACAAACTGTAAAATATGTCATGACGAAAGGTCTTGGGACAACTTTGGTAATAGTGTTTAAAGTGTTTCGGCCCTGCTAGGCCTTCTGGGGAGTATCATGGTAGATCCAAGAGCTGTGTCTCCCAGGACATTCCGACCCTAACAGTTAGGGTTGGCTACAGGCACGGGGTGGAGTCGGGTGGGTCCACTTGGAACACGTCCAGCGTTGTTCACAGAGGCGAGGGGCAATGAAAGTGCTCCTCAGTGGAGGGAGCCTCTGCTGGCTCTTCCTCTGCTCAGAAGAAAGGAACTCTTCTCATATATGCGTGCTTCTCCATAGGGTCTGCAGGCATTAACAATTAGCAATCGGTTAACAATTCACCAGGCCCTCTGGAGTAAACGCTCTCAGGACAGTGCCTCAAAATCTGCCCTGTCACAAGCTTCTCAGTCATTTCTGTTCTCCAAAGATGGCTTCTTTCTAAAACAACACATTTTTTCTCGGCTCTCTGCTTTCTGGCTCTGCACTCTGCACCTAGCACTGGGTACTCTGTACCTGGAACACCAAGTACTCTGCACCTAGCAGCGGATACTCTGCACCTGGAACACTGAGTACTCTGCACCTAGCACCGGATACTCTGCACCTGGAACACCGAGTACTCTGTATCTAGCACTGAGTACTCTGTACCTAGCACTGAGTACTCTGCACCTAGCACCTGGCTTTCTCAGGCAGCTTTCATAGCTTCAAAGCTTGTTTGCTCTTCTGCAAAACGAAAGTGCTCACAGTTGCCCTTACATAAATTACAGTCAGAGAGCCTGACACACGGCTGGTGCTCAGAAAAGGTCAGTCGCTTTGCACCTGGCCAGGTGTTTTAGGAGACAGTGAGAGCCAGTCCCCGCCTCCGGTTCCCTTCAGGAAGTCCAGTCTTACCTGATTCCAACAGGAGGCAGGCTAGAGTGTTGGTGTCATGGGCGGTAGAGAAAGAAGAGGTCATCTGAGGATAAGCCAGGCTGTCCGTGACCCCTGAAGGACACAGTCTGCCCCTTTCACCTTGGGTACCTACCTGTCTGCCCAGTTGTGTTCCCTCCTCTATGAAAGTGAATGACCACACCTACCTTGCCCACCTCCTAGGGATGCCACAAGGCTCAGAGCAAACAGTCTGAGTGTGGAGGCATCTCAAGCCACTAAAACAACCTTAACTTGGGGCTTCACAGGTTCCACACTGAGCGTGAGTAAAGAACCGGTGTGGAGAAATGGAGGCATCACTAACATGCCGGCGAGTTAGGGTGCAGCTCAGCCTGGGGCTGTGAGGCTCCATTTTCACTAAAAATGCAGAATGATGAGCCAGGAGCCACCAAGGTGTGAGGAATAAACCCACTATCCCAGTCAGGACTGCGAGCCAACCCAGGTGCCTCAGCCCTGCAGAGTCTAGAGCCAGAGAGCACCAACCCAGTCAGCCCCCCCCCTCCGCCCCACCTCTTCTGTTCCCTTCCCGGGGCCTATGGAAGGACAGGCTGTTCCCACTGATCACTGCCAGGCCTGTGCTTTAACCCTACAATCCTTTCTAATCCTCCTATGATCCACCCCCCCAGCTGCTCCCTGGCCAGCCCTGGCACCCTGCCTGCTGGCCTCGGGCCTGGCACTTGCCCCGCCCAGGCCTCACCTCCTCTCCCCGAGAAGAGCCAGGGGTTGGCCCAGGGCCCTTCGAACCAAGCATAGTCAGCAGGCTGGGTACCTGCCTCCTCCACACAGAACCAGGGACCTAGGGGCCCAGGTCTGGCCTAGAATGTCCTCTGATACACACACAGTCTCTCTCTGCTGGGGGACCTGTTTCTAGAAGTGATGGAATTCGAGTCTCTTGGTCCTGTTTGCCACTGGGGCTGCTGACTCATCTTCTGAAGCCTTGGGTTCCAGCTGTTCAGTGACAGGGAGATTATATAAGCCAGGGTCATGTGATCCACCTCTCGGGTGGGACTCTGGACTTGAATGGTGCCCCGCAGCGAGATCAAGTGGAGGATGGCAGTGAGTGCCCAAGAACTCCAGGACAAAAAGTGGACCTTCCTCTCCTGTCTCTGCCTTCTCTCTCTGTTGACTCAGCCACACTGCACTGTGTACCTCTGCCCCCTTGGTTGTCCAGCGTGGCAGCCTGAGACCCTGGGGCCTGTCCTTACCTGGCCCACCCCAGCCAGGCTCAGCCACTCTGAGGAGGCCAGACTCCCTGAGGGTTTCAGTCTTGGGCTGAGAAGGTCATTCAGAGGAGACATTAAGAGAGAGTCCCCATTGGCTGGGGCAAGTCCTAGCTACTTAGGAGGGAAGGGCAGCAGGTTTGGGATTGACCACTAGAGTCAGTGCAGTGCTAATATCCCCATCCTGTGAAGAGTCGCCGTGGGCTGTGACCTGGTCCACTCTTGCTTTATCCAGCTCCATTTTTCCACTGGTGTCCAGAACCCTCCATCCATCCTGTCTCCCGTCAACACCTCCCCCTCCCCCACACACATACATCACACACACACACACACACACACACACACACACACACACTCTCTCTCTCTCTCCAGGATGTCGCCATAAGTTAATACAGAGCTAGGGTGGGGCAAAGCAACACAGATTAATCCAAGCCCAGCAAAATGTTCCCTGCCCCTGGGGGACCCGCTCCACTGACCATGGGCCTCAGAAACAAACATCGTGTTCAGAGCTCAGAGCTCACACGTGCTCCCTCGGCCCCTCTTACCTCAGTGGAGACATAAAACTGGCACCGGAGACAGCTATAAGCAAGAGAAGGAAGTGTGTGGGCTTCTAGAATTTGGCTGGTTCAGTCCAGATTTCCTGGGGCTTGCAGGAGCACAGAACATTTGACCTGTGGGGGTCTAATTCGTACAAGGAAGTAGAGATGCCTGCAGCTGATGGGAAGGGTAAACTGACCCTGGCTCCTCAAGGTACACTCTGGGCTGGAAGCCCAACCCCTCCCCCAAACTCAGAGCCCCCGCTTTTCCTCAATCAAGCCAGCCGTCTGTTTCTGTGACAACGACACACACAGGATCAGGGCCACCAGCCTTGAAACATCTTCCTGAGCCTAAGCAGCGTCACCTGGACAAGAGCTGCCCACTGGGATCTGAAAGCAGCAGCAGAATTCTTTCAGTCCCTGTCCTTGTAGAGCTAGCCCTGGTCGAGGTAAAGACACTGGCCTGCCCTACACCAGAGGGATGGGGGCCGTGGGGCTGCAGGCCTAGCCCACATCACTCTGTCTGTAATTTCAGCCTCAAGAGTCATGGAGCCTCAGCCCGATTCAGACCCCAAAGGACTATCTCCTTTTCACCCAGCCCACTTCAGAAAGTGGCTCTGACAGAAAGGGGTCTCGCAGAAAGTTGGCTCCTTGCGAAATAAGCTATAGATCTTTGTTGGCTGCATTTTGCAGCAGCCAGACCTGCCGGACAAGACTGGACACTGTGAGTCTGTTTCCCTCACCCTAGATTTCTCAAAATACTCCCATGCAACAGCTTTCCCATCTGTCCCTCCCTGCTCCCAGAAACGCCCACACCTCCCCTGCAACCTCCTGCATCCCAGGAAAGAGCAAGAGTGTGCTGGCCCAAGGCCAAGATGGGAGTGCACATGTAATTACGTCCCAGTCCTGGGGACAGAGGCCGAACGCCACAGTGGGTGAGCATCTCTTGCCCGGCACCCCCACCCACAGCATACTGGCTTGGCATGCAAAGCCAGACACATCCCTTCCCCTTGAGGAAAACTGTAACTTGCAGGATTCCCAGCAGAGCTTGGTCTGGCCCTCTTCGTTAAGACTTCATTAAGGAACCTCCAACCCTGCCCTAGATGAGGTTTCCAGGATGCTGGAGCAACCAAAAGGGCCACACGCCATCTGAGACCGTTTGCAACTTTTACAGTTATAAAACAAAGATAAACATATTCAGATAAATTAACAGCATGCACATTGAGGGGATGAAGTAATGGGTATTTAGAACTGGGTGGAATTAATTAGGGAAGGCTTTATAGAAGGCCTTCAAGGTTGCTATTTTGTTTGTTGTAGTTCTGGAGATCAAGCTCAAGGCCTAACTCTACCACTGAACTGTATACCCCAAACCCAAGCAGTTGATTTGGTCTGGTTTTTATGGTCCAAGGGATCAAACCCCGATGCTTCCATCTGATCAGAGAACTGATTGGTTGGCTGGTTGGTTGGTTGGTTGGTTGGTTGGTTGGTTGGTTGGTTTTCTGAAGCTAAGGACCGAGCCCAGGGCCTTGCACTTGCTAGGCAAGCGCTCTGCCACCGAGCTAAATCCCCAACCCTGGTTGGTTGTTTTTTTAAGACAGGGTCTTACTCTGTAACCCAGACTGGCTTCAAATTTACAATCCTCCTGCCTCTGCCTTCCAAGTGCTGGGATTACAGGTGTGCACCACCACACCTGACAAAACTCAAGTTTTGAGTAGAATTTACAAGTGGACAGAGAAAAGGAGGAACATCCTATAGTTTCTTAGTACTTGTTAAAAGTGTAAGTTTGGCTGTAAGACCATCTGGGTTCAAAACCCTACACAGTCACTTATTAGCTTTGCATCCCAGCAGAACACTGACCCCTCTGGGCAATAAGGTCCTTCACCTATAAACCAGAAGTAATAGTTACAGCTTTGTGGTGCGATTATGGAAATTAACTAGGATAATATATATAAAGCCCATAAACCAGTGCTTGGTCTCTCAAAGGACTTAATAGCAGCAGCTTTGTGTGTGTGTGTGTGTGTGTGTGTGTGTGTGTGTGTTAGGCCTTTTCCTGGGCCAGCTTTGAACTGGCTATATCGCTAAGGATGACCTTGAACTTCTCATCTCATGGTATTACGCATATATAAGTTTATGTGGTTGAATCCAGGGCTTTGTGCATGCTAGGTAAACACTCCAACTGAACTGTACCCCAGCATGAGTGTTTTCATTACATTTGTTTATTTGTTGTGTGTGGTCACACCCTGGTCTCAGCACCTGGATGGAAGGCAGAGCATAAGTTGCCAAATTATTTCTCTCCTTACACCACATGGAACCTAGGGTTGGAACTCAGGTTGCCAGGCTCGGTGGCGATCACCTATACCAGATGAGCCCTCAAGTGTTGTTTCTGTAATGCTTTTTGTTAACATATACAATTATACACAGTAATGGATTAATTATGATATTCTCATCATGCATCTAACGTATTCTGATCACACTCCCCTAGTCCCCCCATCACCCTCTCTCATCACTTCTGCTGACCACCGTCTTCTTCCCCAGCAGCCCCTCTTCTACTCTTTCCCCCCCTTTTGGTAACCCAATGAGTTTCCTTAGAGTGGCTAACAGGAACATGGATGAGAGGTCATTTACAGGAGTATAACACCTTAGCAGCAGCCACACTGCTGGATAAAATGTTAATAAGATAGGATCTTGCTATGCAGCCCAGGCTGGTCTCAAACGAGCAATCCTCCTGCCTCAACCTTCTGGGTGCTGGGATTATAGAGGCACTATGCTCAGCTAGTTCTGTTGTGGGTTTTGTTGTTGTTGTTGCTTCTTTTCTTTGTTTGTTGTTCATTTGGTTGGTTGGTTTCTTGAGACAGGGTTTTTCTGTGTAGTAGCCCTTGTTGTCCTGGAACTCCCTCTGTAGACCAGGCTAGCCTCAGAGGCACATGCCACCACCCGACCTAATTGTGTTTCTTAAAAAAAAAAAGAGAAAAAAAAAAAAAAACCAGCACTCCTGGCCAGTCAGGGCTACCTAGTTAGACCCTGTCTCAAATAAAGTTATTGCATTTATTTTGTAATCCTAGATGGGTCAGAGGACAACTTGGGGCGGGGGGGTCCTCTTCTTTGACCATGTGAGTCCTGGGGCTCAAACTCAGGTAGTCAGTCTTGGAAGCAAGCACGTTTACCCACTGGGCCATCTGTCCAGCCCTAGTCCTGTTTCTTAGAGCAGAATAGGAGCAAGGTAGTTGGTGGGAGGGATCAGAGAAGCGCGAGGGTGGTGATCATGGAAAGAGGCTACAGACAGACAGCTTTACAGCCTCCTGGACCACGTGCAAGATGCTCTAGTTATCTCACAGCAGAGATGTGATCAAATGCGAGCATTGATGCACCCATGCACCCAAGTGTGGGACCTGCCCCGTGGAAAAGGGTGTAGCTGCAAAGGCGGAAGCTTGGGGAAAAAAGGCCGTTGCAGAGTGTCCAGGGTCCAGGTTGGGTCAAAGTCTGAAGATCATGCCTCCAACCGTGACCGCCCTCAATGCCAGTGGCTCCTGCTCCCGCCTCCTTCTGTCATCACTGCTGGGGACAGGACGGTGAGAGGCTTGGCCGTACTCCCCACCAATTGGCAACAAATTCCTATTTTGTGGGTGGCCTAGGGTACGACCCACACATGCATCTCGGACGCGATCCCCATGTGGCTGTGGTCGTGTGTGCGGTACGCGTGTCCATGTGGGGATGCGCATGCCAGGAGGCACAGAAGCAGCCCACAGATGAGTAACAGCGCACACTGCTGCCTCTCCGAGTATTTTTAAACGCTAAAAATACTGGCTAAAAATAGCCTGCAAGCTCCAAACAAGATACTTTCTCTCGGCAGATTCCTGCGCTTCCCTGTTAGGTGAGGGGGCGGAGCATCAGGGGAAAAAAAACCCTCTCCCTAGACCCCTTCTGCCTTGAAGCATTGCCCACGTGGAGGCCAGAGACCACCCCCACACAAGACCACCCCCCAACACACAAGAAGAGCATCTTCCTCTCGTCCTCTTATAAAAGTTAAATTTGCGATTCTAGAAGAAATGGAGTTGGGTAATAGGTTAGGAAGGTCCAGAAATGGTTCTTTCCTGGAGCCAAAAGGGCCAGTGACCTATTGTACCTTATAAAATGAGCACCGCCTCTCTTGATAATGGGCTAGGCTGGGTCTAGAGGAGGAGCGGAGCTCAGCCCCGGAGGCGTTTGGAAACCTTTCCTAGCCCCGGCTCCTCGACCCCCTGCAGACTGCGAGGAGGCTGGGCGTCACGAAGACCCAGGTTCCCCACATGGTGGGCGAAAGTGTGCGCCTATGCATTTTGCCCTGAAAAAATAGTGAGCTGTCGCTAGGGTCTCAAAAGGGTCTGCAACCCCCAAGTTCACCACTATCTGCTGCCTGGGCGGAGGCGCTCCAAGCTGACTGACACTTGATCTTAAGGGGGCGTCCCCCAAAGACCCCAAAGATTGTCTGTGGCGTCCAACCCCTAAGCCGGCCGGGGAGAGCGCGCCCCCGCTTTGCCCCGGGAGGGTTCCCGTGTCTCCGTGGTCCGGAGGTCAGCGGCTTTGGGCAGGCCGGGGCGACCTCGCCGGAGTCCGCGTGCCGGCTCGCGGGGCGGGGCGGAGGCGGGGCGGGGCGTGGTCCCGGGCCCGGCCCCGCCCCGCCCCGGCGCTGACGTCGCGCGACTGGAGGCTCGGCGGGTCAGCCAGTCCGCCGGAGCGCGAGCGCTGGGCCCGGTCGGTTGGCTGCGCGCGGTGGGGAGGTTGAGGCGGAGGAGCGCGCGCTGGGCCCTGCAGTAGCGGTTACTGCCCCCCGCGTCACCGACGGGGTCCTGTGGGATCTCCGCTGGCTTCGGTGTCCGGCTTGTGGCACGGCGCGGGGACTCCCCTGTAACCCTTTGGTCAGCCGCGTCGGTGTCGGGGCATAGCCCGCCGCCCGCTCCGCAACATGCGTACCTCCTACACCGTGACCCTGCCCGAGGAGCCCCCCGCCGCCCCCTTTCCCGCCCTCGCCAAGGAGCTGCGGCCGCGCTCCCCTCTGTCCCCGTCCCTGCTGCTCTCCACCTTCGTGGGGCTTCTGCTCAACAAAGCCAAGGTACGCGGGCCCCTTTCTGGGACCTCCCACGCTGAAGGTCTGGGGGTCCTGCTTGCTCCCGGGATCGACCCCAGCCCGCCACGAGTCTCTGAACCCCAGGACGTTCTTTCCCAGCTCTTTCCCCCTTTTTTTCCCGAGGGTCTCCTGGCAAGGGATGCCCCCTTCCCTGGAAATCGCAAGCTTGCTCCAGACTCCTCCCCTCTTGATATCCAAGCCCCTAAGGTCCCCTAACCCCCCTCCCTGGGTGACCCGGGCACCTGGTGGCTCTTGGCCTCTTAATTCCAGTCACCTATCAAGACAGGTGCAGGCGAGAGTAACCTTGACTAGGGCTGGTGTGTGACTAGAGGGAACAGACATCACGCTGTACTCGGGGGTGACTCCTCCAAGGCCAAACTCCAACAAGGAAGGTGTCTCAAAGGGGTGCCTCCCCTTCTCTGTTCCCAAATAGGCTCTCTCCCGGGGGGTCAGTTGCCAGGGTGCTTTGACCCTGTGAAGGGCAGAGGTTGTAGACAGGTGAGAAAATGAACCCTTCTCTTCCGGGTCCTCTTCAGCGGCGCGGAGTGGGCAGTGCATTCCTTGATTGAAGCAGCTCGTGGAGTGATGCCCGGGGCTAAGGCTGGGCACTGTCCCTTTGGGAAGGAGGGAAGGGGCCCGAGCTTGACAGGTCTTATGTAACAGGCACCAGCTCCCGTGTTGGCAGTACGTGCCCTGCCCCGTGCCAGGGCTACCCCGGGCTCCTTGGCTGCAGCCAGGCCACATGGCTGACCCTCACCATGCAGATAAAGCAAGGCTGCCCTTCAGCTGGGGCATCTAGTGTGAAGTCACAATCTCAGTCCACCTCTCTTACAGGCCGGTCCCCAGATGCCAGCCCGCATTGCCCAGTGACAGGCTGTTTGAGCCCCTGCCCCTGGCCTGGCCGAGGAGTGCTGTTTACTATGGAAGCGGCATCTGCTCTCTAGAACAGGGCTTGCTACTGAGTCAAAGCTAGGGTTGCCGACGACTGAGTGTCAGGAAGCTCCGGGGCCAAACTTTCTCAACTCTGCACCTGAGTGCCAGCTGGAACCACTTCCTTGTGCGGCCGCGGCCGCCGTGAGAGGCTGGCCGTGCAGGGTGTCTGTCCCCCTTTTCAGTCGTAGCCTCTTTCCCTGCCAGCCCTGAGGTAGGATTGTTTGCCCTGTGAGAAAGGTCACTCCTGGGACATTTTGTTCCTCTCTGGAATGGGAAGTGCTGACTTTCCCTGGAGCTCCTGATTTCCTATTCATGGTAGAAGAATATCGGGCCTGGCTTAGAGCAGCCCTGCTCCCCCATCCACTCCCACCCCCAAGCCCTGAAAGCCCCCCACCTTCTACCCAGAGCACTCAGAAGCTGGCCAGTGGAGTCAGGCATGGTGGTGAAGGCCTGTGACCTCATCACTTGGGAGGCGGAGGCTGGAGGATGGCTTTGAATTTAAGACCCACCTGGTCTACGTAGTGAATTTCAGACCTGCCAGCACTCTATCATGAGACCCTGTGTCTAAGAAAGGAAAAAAGAACTTGCCAAGTGTTTGGGAGGGTTCAGGAAATTTTAGATAAAAACATGAGTTCCCGCACTGAAAAAAAAAATCGGAGGGTCCTAATGGTGATTTGGGGGAGTCTCTCTCCTCTTCCCACCCCCAAGCCAGTAGAAGCATTGGGGCCCCAAACACTAACTATGGGGGATGAAATGCGCTTCCCACCTTCCAGCTGCCCAGTGAGCCTGACAGCGGGAGTGACCGGGGACTGGGGACCCCAGTCTCCCTTTCCCTACCCTCACTAGTGCAGGGATAAGTGCCTCAGCTGAGAGCCCGCCTTGGTGGATGTGGACATGGTCACCAGCGGTAGGATGCTTTGCGTCTCTACAGCCTGTTTAGACCGATGTCGTCTCAGGCCCAGGGGGTAAGGACTAGCCAAGAGCTACCAAAAACAGGTGTGAGTGGGCATCGTGTGTGGGCACTCCTGGGGGGTGCCTCCAGGCGGGCAGCGTGGAGACTGCAGCAGTGCTTTCTTGTTGGGCTGGGGAAGAGGGGGTCTTTTACCACTTCATCCAAAGCTCCGATGGGATCTTTGTCCACAGAGACTGTCGCTGTGGCAGCCCCCTTACAGGGCCCACCACGGTCGTCAGCCAGGCAGGATTCCCATTTTGCCACTACCAAGGCTTGAACCCAGGGGACCCTACGAGTGCTAGCCAAGCCCGGTCAACCACGACCCCCTGTGGTGGGATTCACGTTTCCATTTGGGGTCCCGTATGCTTAGCACTCCAGGCCAGGGCAGTGGAGCATGCTCCACCCTACCTGCTGCCAGCTGACGGTTTAGACCAGGTCTCTGCTGAGTGTGCTCCCTTTCTACCTGCTAGAGTTGGACCTGACCACTGACCAGGGCAGGGATCCTCTTACTCGTGGGATGGGCCTGGCACTTCTTGAGAAAAGCCCTCCCTCGGCCTGCTCTTCCCTCCCCCCCTTCAAGCTGACAGTCTCATGGGCTTTGAGCCGCTGACAGCCTCCGAGGCAGTCAGCACACAGCAGGAGTAATTTTAGCTGAGTTATTTCAGGCTCCTGTTCTGATCAGGGTTGAGCTGGCCCCACGCATGCCCCAGCCAGGGTTGCTCCAGAGTTGCCTGCTCCGAGGCCTCTTCCTAAGAGAGGGGGTGGCAGACTCATCCATCGACTCATCCCCTGACTCTTTAACCCTTTGAGCCTGAAGGTTTCCCGACGCCCAGGGGGTGTGCCCAGGGTTAGCTAAGAGACCTTGACAAATGACGCCCAGAGTCTGCAATCTCGCACCTGTCCTCCTCCGGCCCTCTCACCAGCCTCCACAGCAGAGACCAGAGTGGCACCTTCACCAGGTGCTTCCTCGGCCTGGTGGCACATGCTGTGTGTGGCAAGTGTTTCCAGCCAGTGGCCAGTTGGGATGTTGAAACCTGAGGCGGGTGGGGAGGATCCTCCCGCCTTGGCTCAGCCCTTAGAAGCTGAGTTCAGCTGGAAGGAATTCCACCTGTCTCTGGCAGCCCAGAATGGCAGGCAGCTTGAGTTTTTCCCTGCGGAGATCGAAACTCAATTAGAGTGGCTTGTCATTTAACCTTTCTCAACTGCCTTAAAGTGCCGATTATGACAGTCCCTTTATATATTGAACGTCTAGTGCAAATATAGGTCACATGAAATCGTACCTGGATTCGGGAAATGAAACCTCTTTTTGTTGTTTCATATAGATCAGACTAGCCTTTGGGGTCACCTATGTGTGGAGCCGAGATTGACCTTGAGTTTCTAATCCTCCTGCCTCCACTTACCAAGGGCTGAGATTGCAGCCATTCCTCACCATGCCTGACCTGGACTTTCAATTTCTTACAGCAAGAAATTTATATTCCTGGATTTATGAATCCCTACCCTCTAGTTCGAATACCTAGTCTCCACTGTAGCAGAGAAAGAATAAAGATAGAGAAGTCAAATGTAGTAGCTCATACCTGTAATCCCAGCACCCATGAGGCTGAGACAGGATTGCCACAAGATCACTAGGCTACCCAGTGAGACCATAAAAAAGCAAAGCCCTAAAGAATAGTTTGTGTGTTGAAAATAGGCATTCCTCTATCCTCTTTTCTCCAAGACTCATAGACAAAGGTTGGAAAGAGACACTCTGCCGGGCTGTGGTGGCACACGCCTTTAGTCCCAGCACTCGGGAGGCAGAGGCAGGAGGATCTCTGTGAGTTCGAGGCCAGCCTGGTCTACAGAGGGAGATCCAGGACAGCCAGGGCTCCCCAGAGAAACCTGTCTCCGTGAAGACGAAGGGCGCTGCAGTGAGGGGTGGGTGTTGACTGACAGGCGAGCACAGACCAGGCTCTGTGCCTCCTCGTAAGTCACGTGTTCTTTGCTTACAGAATTCAAAGAGTGCCCAGGGTCTGGCTGGTCTTCGAAACCTTGGGAACACGGTAAGTTCCTCCCAACTCATGTCTTTCCACGAGAGTAGAGGCTCTCCTGACCTGGATAATCCAATAGAGTCCCCTCCTGGCTCCAGCTAACTTCCTGTCCTAGAGGGCGATCAGTACCTGCCCTTCCTGGCTGGTGTTTCAGTGAATTGCTGGGCTCTGTCTCACCCGCCCCCAGCAGGAAGCGCTGCTAAAAGGAAGCTGCCCTTGTCACAGCCTGCTGCTCTCCTGGACCTTCCTCGGGGTTCCCATCCTTTCCCACCCTCCTCTGACCACTGTGCCCACACCCTTTTGTACACCTCACTAGGAAATAACCAATTATACGGCCTTTCCCCAGGGTGGGGACGTGCCTCACTCCTCCTGCCCTTAGGAAAGGGGGACCTGGCCCCGTGAGGGAGTTCATTTCTGGGGGGATGAAACAGAGAGCCTCTGGTTGCAAGCAGTAGAGGTACCAGGTCAGGGTCTTACCTCCATCACTGCGATAGATAGGCAGCTTTCTGTCCCTAGGACAGATCCACGAGCTAAATCGACTTCAAGTGACAGTACGTTTATTGGGCTGTTTTCGTCATGGCTGGCTTACTGGCTCTGTCACTTTGGGCTTGTGACAAGACAGGACATGTGTTCACCTCCAGGCCAGGGTGCAAAAGACAGAGAGGGAAGAGACTGGGGTCCTTCAGGCCTCTTCAGGGGGACACCCCAGTACCTGAAGGCCCCCAGCTGGGCCCTGTCTCTTCAAGTTGCCACCACCTCTCAATACAGTGCCGTTAGCTGGGACCCCATGGCTTGTGCGCACATCCGCTAACTGCCCAGACTGTCTCTTTCAGTGCTTCATGAACTCAATTCTTCAGTGCCTGAGCAACACCCGCGAGCTGAGAGATTACTGCCTTCAACGGCTGTACATGCGGGACCTCGGTCACACCAGCAGCTCGCACACAGCCCTCATGGAAGGTGAGGAGCCCCGGGTGGGCGTGGCCCTGCTCCGTTCCCTGCTCTGTTCGGATCTGCCAGGCCCGGCTGATAGTTGTGTTTTGGGTACACTCCACCCCTCTATTGTTCTTTCTTTGCCTGTTGTTCACTGGGATTCGTTCCAGAATCTGTTGTTTGAGACACAGCCTTGCTATGTAACCCTGGTTGGACCCAAGCTCGTGATTCTTCTGCCTCAGCCTTCCGAGTGTTGGGATCACAGGTGTACAGCACCATGCCCGACTCCAGTTTTGGGGTTCCATCTTGTTTGTTCATTGGTCGGTTGATCTGTGGGTTGGTTGGATGGTTGTCTTGTTTTTGAGACAGAGTCTCAGATACCCCAAGCTGGCCGTGAACTCCTGATCTTCCTACCTGAACTTGGGATCACAGGTGTACACTACCACACCTCGCTCGAGGTTTCATAGATATAATCACACCTGAGGCTGGAGAGCTGCTCACGGTTAAGAGTCCTTACTGCTCTTGCGAAGGACCAGAGTTTGGTTCCTAGAACCCATGTCAGCCAACTTACAACCTATAACTCTGGTTCAGAGGATCCAGCCCCCTCTTCTGGGCTCCTTGGGCACTCACAAGCATGCATGCATACTCACACAATTTAAAATAAAATCGCTTTTTTAAAGAGAAAATAGCTCACCTGTCCTCCACCCTCTCTCTCTCTCTGATTGTTCCTTCCAACAGAGTTTGCAAAACTAATCCAGACCATATGGACGTCATCCCCCAATGATGTGGTGAGCCCATCTGAGTTCAAGACCCAGATTCAGAGATACGCACCACGCTTCGTTGGCTACAAGTAAGGGCCTCGAACGCATGTCTGCCTGTCCTCCCCAAGGGGGCGGTGGCACAAGCACGGTACTGGTAGATGCCGCTCCCTCACTTTCTCTGGGTTCAGTCAGCAGGATGCTCAGGAGTTCCTTCGCTTCCTCCTGGATGGGCTCCACAATGAGGTGAACCGGGTGACAGTGAGACCCAAGCCCAGCCCTGAGAACCTGGATCACCTCCCGTAAGTAAGAGGAAAGCTGCTGTGAAGTAGGTCTGGGGACGTGAGATTTGTACCTACTTTGAGAGTAGTGCCCTGGGGAGAGGCAGCTGTGCTTTGCTGTGGTTTTTAAAACACGACCTTTTTATTTCAGTGATGGTGGTGTGGGTGTCTGTGTTAGTGAGGATTGTACCTAGGGCCTTGTCCATGAGGGCAAGCACTCTGCCACTAAGTTACATCCTCTAGATGGCTTTTGAAGATTAAAAGGTTGAAGCCAGGCATGGTGGTACACACCTGTAATCCTAGATTTCAAAAGGCTGAGGTAGGAAGGATTATGAATTTGAGAGCAGCCTGGGCTAATCCTGTCTCAAGAAAAACATCATAGCTTGGGAGGTACAGCTCAGTGGGTCGTGTGAAGAACTGAGCAGGGCCCGAGATTGCATGCCCAGCACCACAGCAAAGATACAGATACAAAAAGATTGTAGTTGATAGCCCCTGACGCCGACTGGGGTTTGAGCTCTGACCCAGCCGTCTTCCTGTCTCTGGTTCCCAGTGATGATGAGAAGGGGCGACAGATGTGGAGGAAGTATCTAGAGAGGGAAGACAGTCGGATTGGGGGTAAGTACACAACAAGAAATACCTGCCTCTGCTCTTCCCTGCTTTTGCTTGAGAAGCCCTGAGCATCGGTCATTTCCCCAGGGAACCCCATGTCTGCCTGGGGCTCTCAAAACTAAGGCAAGAGTGGGGGGGGGAGACAAGCAGTCAGTGTGGTCAGCACGCCCTGGCTTTCTCTTCCCCAGATCTCTTCGTCGGGCAGCTGAAGAGTTCCCTGACCTGCACCGACTGTGGCTATTGCTCTACGGTCTTCGATCCCTTCTGGGACCTCTCGCTGCCCATTGCAAAGGTATGCCCCGCCACAGCCACAGCCCGCCACAGCCCCAGCCCGCCACAGCCCCAGCCCCAGCCCGCCACAGCCCCAGCCCGCCACAGCCCCAGCCCGCCACAGCCCCAGCGGCAGCTTCCCTCTCGGGCTCGGCAAGGCTGTGGACAGCTGACCTGGACTTTTTTTTCTCCAGAGAGGTTATCCTGAGGTGACATTAATGGATTGCATGAGGCTCTTCACCAAAGAGGATGTGCTGGATGGGGATGAAAAGCCAGTAAGTGCCCGTCAGTGACAGAGACGCCATCCACAGTGCCCGGCTGGGGAAGGGCCCCTCGGCTCTCCACTGCCAAGGGCCACAGATCTCTCTAACCCCTTTTGTCTCTCTTCAGACATGCTGCCGCTGCCGAGCCAGAAAACGATGTATAAAGAAGTTCTCTGTGCAGAGATTCCCAAAGATCTTGGTGCTCCGTATCCTTGACCTCCACGGTTGGGACCTGACTTTTTGGGGTGACTAATGACAAGAGACCCTTGTCATTAGGGGAGGGGAGCCGAGTGGGGGGAAAGTGTAGACTTCTTTGTTAGCCTTCCTGCTTCCCGAGAAGAACCACTTCTCCAAGGACTCTGCTCCAGTGTTTTGTTCTTGACTCACGGCAATCACAGACCTGAAGCGGTTCTCAGAATCCAGGATACGAACCAGCAAGCTCACAACATTTGTGAATTTTCCACTAAGAGACCTGGACTTGAGAGAATTTGCTTCAGAAAACACCAGTGAGTATACTTGAGCAGGAGGGAAGACCGAAGATGAGAGGCAGCAGAGAGGCAGCAGGAAGCTAGTGAATTAGGAAGAGGTAGGAAGTCAGAGCCGGTGAAATAGATCGGCAGGTAAAGGCGCTGACGGCCCGAGATCGATCCCCAAAGCCCACACAGAAGGAGAATTGACTACTGGCTCCTTCGAGTTTCTCTCTGACCTACACACACCCACAATGAGTACTAAAATTAAATTTTAACTTCTTTTTAAGTAGAAACTATGGTTTCTTTAAGGGGGAAAAAAGGATAGGGAAATAAAAGGGAGGAACATGGGGTCAGGAATGCCTCCAGGGCTTGACACCTGTCTCCTCCTCAGACCATGCTGTTTACAACCTTTATGCTGTGTCCAATCACTCCGGAACCACCATGGGAGGCCATTATACAGCCTACTGCCGAAGTCCGGTGACAGGCGAATGGCACACTTTCAATGACTCCAGGTGAGAGACGGCGTTCGTTAAGACAGGGCTCCTAGTAGCAACCCCTCATAAGGCTTCCGTCTTGAATGGACAGAAAGTCGAGATCAACAGCTACACCATACACACAAGTCTGTGCTGCCCATTCTGGGGCTGTCAAAAATGGGCACAGTGGCTTACAGCTGTAACCAAACATCTGAGAGGTGAAGGCAAGAGATCAGGAGTTCAAGGTCATCCTCAACTACATAGCAAGTTTGAAGTCATTTTAGGCTATGTGAGAATCTGTCTCAAAAAAAGAGGGGGGAGCTGAAGACAGCTGAGTGGTTCAGAGCTCTTCCGGCTATTGTTGTGGAGAAGAGTCCATTGCCATTGGCCGCCATGGGCACCTGCACTCTGTGCAAGTACCCACACGTACCACGTACGCATAATTAAAAAAAACCCTCAAAGGACAGAGGCAGAGCTTAGGTTGGCATAGAAAAGTCCCAAGGCACTTGCTCAACCCCAGCCACTCGGCTCTGTGTCGCCGTGGCCTTCCTGGACAGACTCTGACTTTTCCCTGATCTCTTCCACAGTGTCACACCTATGTCCTCCAGCCAAGTGCGCACCAGCGACGCCTATTTGCTCTTCTATGAACTGGCCAGTCCACCCTCCCGAATGTAGCATTGAGGAGCTACTGCCCTTCCCTCTTCCCTGTGGCGGCCCCACGTCCTAAGTTTTTTAAAAATTCAGAAAAAAAAAAAAAACACCACAAAAAAAACATCAACAAAATCCTGACAAGTAAGAGAAAAATAAAGTGAAATAAAGCTGTCGAGCGGAAGTTGATACGGCCTGGTCGGGGTCTGGAGCAAGGAGCCGTGCCGAGCCACGGCCAGTCAGGGAAGACCACTGACGGATGCAGAGACGGAGTCAGCCCTGTTCCTCAGCTCCTCGGCTTCTCTTGTTTGCATTTTTAAGCTTGTGGTTTTTTTCCTGTGTGTAATAAAAAACAGCGGTCTGTGGGGAGAAGATCCTCAGTCCACCTGCTGCCCTCTCCTGCCCCACACCTTCTGGGAGGACAGCGCCCTCTGGAGCCTGCTGGGAGCATCGCAGCTGGATGGAGCGAGGGAGGACCGTGCACGGAGCCCCCCCCTGGACCTGCTCACCAGCCCAGAAAGGAAACACCCATGAGCCAAGAGCCCTCTTAACGCTGCTAAGTCCAGGGGTACGGATGAGGGGACATCTTTGAAAAGAGCTGGTTTGGGTTTTCAAAAGCCCAACTTTTTTTAAAAAAAAAAAAAAAATTAACTGTGACGAACATGTTCCGACTGGAGATGCCGTCCATCCGTCCTTCACATCTCTTCCACAGCTGGGACATTGGGCTAGCCCTCTGTTTTTGTTGGGGTTTGTTTATTTTTTTCTTTTTCTTTTCTTTTCTTTTTTTTTTAACTTCTCCAAATATAACTTCCCTAACGCTAGCCCCCTGTGGTAGGTCGGCCAGGCCCAAGCGTAGTCACAGTAGACCTGGGATCTAAATAAGTTTTCTGTTTCGAAGTTGTTTTTCTTTTCTTTCTTTCTTTCTTTCTTTTTTTTTTTTTTATGTTTTGGATGGAATCTAGTTGCCTCCAAGAATTGTGCCTTATAGCATTTGGGGACCAGGGGGTGACTTCCCCTTCCTGAGATACCCCTCCGCTGTTTCTCTTTATCCCAGGGCCATGTTCAAAGCCTCTTGGGGAAATGGGGCGCTGCCCTTAGCTCCTGGCTTGTTGCACGTGGCCGTGAGGTGAAGAGGGAGTGGGTAAAGGGTTTCTTCAGCGAGTGTATCAAGTTCTTCCTGCGGTCCTCTCCCCCCCCCCCCCCTCCCCAGCTGTCTGGAGGACAGCACCGGCCCCTCATCCCCAGAGCTTCACCTTTAATTTATTCTCTTCTTAATGCCCCATCCCCCAAGCTTCCCACCATCTGTCCCTTTCTCAGAGTCTCCTGGACAAAGGCCCTCTAGACTGAGCTTCTCAGGGACACCCATGCCACCCCTACCTACCCCACCTGGCAGTCGCCTTTGGTCCCACCCTGGGAGCTTGAGCCTGGATGTCTGGTGATGTCTTGTATGGTTCTTTCCCATGGATTTGATTTGGCCCTCATTAGGCAAAAACTCCATGCTGTCCCAAGAGCCAAGCTATTCAGCACTAAGGCATTTTGCACACCCCCACAGGTGGGCCTGGCTTACGCCCTCAGAACCTGGAGTGCTTGAGTGTTCCCAGGATGAGGCATCCTAGAAAGACACCCTGAGTTTACCTGGCCTGATACCCTTCTCTAGGGAAGACCTGTGAAGCTGAGCCCCAGGGCGGGTGTACACTTGCTTACCATGTAAGCAAGAGGAGGATGTCTAATGTACAGTGGAGCCTTGTACAGAATAAATAGTAGCTTTGAGAAAGACGCTGCTGGTGTGACAGTCTTGATTTGGGAGGGGCTTAAATCTGGGGAGTGCTCCCATCATTGCGAGGGCCTCAGTTCCTTGCTTCCGCCAGTCTGTGAGCACTGCCTTCTAGAAACTCACCACCTGTTACTTCAACTTTTCAATATCTTTTTCTGGGTTTTTTTTGAGACAGGATTTCTCTGTATAACCCTGGCCATCCTGGAACTCGCTCTGTAGACCAGGCTGGCCTCCAACTCAGAGATTCGCCTGCTTCTGCCTCCTGAGTGCTGGGATCAAAGGCATGCAACCCCCTTGCCTGGCATTCAATTCTTTTGTTGTTGTTGTTCTTTAAGTTTAAATAGTATTTATTTCAGATGTCATATTCTACATCTGGATTCCCAGACTGAGTTCGTCCTTGTGTTTATATGTATTTTATTCCTTTGGCCAAAATGTCTATGAGGTATATCATACTCCCAAAGACCTCAGTGTCATCTTTCCAAAGACAATATCCCGCAGGATGTCATCTAAACACCTGGGAGAACTTCCATATCTGGTGGCAACATGTTTTCACCCTTACTGGGGGAGGGGTGCATGTGCAGGCCTGTGGAGGTCGGGACAACATGCACCATGTGGGTCCCGGGGATCAGAACAGGCCACCAGGCTTTGGGACAAGTGCTTTGACTTGCTAAGCCACTTGGACAGCCAACCCCTTTTCACATACAGTATCTCTGTAGCCCAGGCTGGCCTTGAACTCACAGCAGTCCTCCTGCTCTAACCTACAAAGTATCAAGATTGCAGGCATGAGCCACCACACCTGACTCACATTTCTGTAAAATCTGATCTGTGTAGACCAGACCTCTGCTGCAGACCTCCACGACAGTGTTGCTGGTCTTAAAGCAAACTGTCATGACTGTGTGTTAAAGGGTTGATCTCCTGTCTTAGGGTTTTTATTTCTGTGAAGAGACACCATGATCACAGCAACTCGTATAAAGGAAAGCACTTAACTGGGGCTGGATTACAGTTCAGAGGTTTAGACCATTAGGCAGGAAGCGTGGAGGCATGGAGACAAGGTGTTAGGTCTCTGAGAGGTCTACATCCCAAACCGCAGGCAGCAGGAAGAGAGAGCGACACTAGGCCTGGCTTGACCATCTGAGACGTCACATCTAACTCCAGTGACACATTTCCTCCAACAAAGCCACACCTACTCCAACAAGGCTACACCCCCTAACAGTGCCACCTCCCTATGGGCCTATGGGGACCATTTTCCTTCAAACTACCACATCCCCTAGGGCGGTTTGGCTTTTACTTTGTTTTAAGGTGTTGGAGATTAAAGACAGGGCCTGTGCATGTTAAGCAGGTGTTACACTGAGTATACTGAGTTACATTCCCACTCCCTAAAGAACTTCCCTCAAAATGTGAGAGCCAGGCCTAGAGGCACAAGCCTGTTGTTCCACCAGCACTTGGAGGGGCAGGGCTAGAGGTAAGAGAATCCGGAGTCAAAGTCATCCCCAGAGCACAGCAGCTTGAAGGTCAGTCTGTGCCGTATGTAAGCTTCTGCTTCAAAAAAGAGAGGAAGAGCTGGAGAGACGGCTCCTGATAAAGATACTGGCTGCTCTTCCAGAGGACCCCAGGCCAATTCCTAGCAAGCACAAATCAGTGCACAAATCCATAACTCCAGTCCTAGAGGATCTGATGCCCGCTTCTGATTTCTGGGGGCACTATATGCACATGGTACACACACATACATGCATTCAGGCAAAACATTCATACACATTTTTTTTAAAAGCCAGGTGTGGAGGTACACCCCTTTAGCCCCAGAACTTTGGAGGCAGAGGCAGGTGGATCTCTTAAGTTTGAGGTCAGCCTGGTCCATAAGTGAACTCCAGAACAGCCAAAACTACAAAAACAAAACAAACAAACAAACAAAAAAAAACATAGTGACATTGTCCTTTTTTGGCAGGGTGGGGGGTGGGGGGAAGTAGGAGGTGTAGGGGGGTGGGAGGATGGGGGTGGGGGTGGGAGGATAGGGGGTGGGGGGTGGTACACTCATCACTACTGCTTTCCTTTTCCATTTCTTTGGAAATGGAATCTCAGAACTAGAGAAACTGAAGTTCCTCCCACTCCCATAAGCTTAGAGTGTTCCAGGATTCTTCTTCCTAACTACCTCCCTGCTCTAGACACTAAGGGGAAATAAAGTTTATCTGGCCATCCTTGTGTGGCACAAATACCTGCTGTCGCTTGGGGTCTGTGTGCTACTGTGTGGCCCACCTCATGAAAGAAAAGCTTTTTTGGTTGGTTGGTTGATTGGTTGGTTGGTTGGTTTGGTTTGGTTTGGTTTGGTTTGGTTTTGGTTTTGGTTTTGGTTTTGGTTTTCAAGACGGTTTCTCTGTGTAGCCTTAGTTGTCCTGGAACTCACTCGGTAGACCAGTTGGCCAGACTCACAGAGATTCACCTGCTTCTGCCTCCCAAATGCTGGGAATAATGGGAATAAAGGCATGTGCCACCAGGCCCAATTTGGAAGACAACTTGTTTTTTTGTTTTTTGTTTTTTTGTTTTTTTGTTTTTCGAGACAGGTTTTCTCTGTGTAGCTTTGCGCCTTTCCTGGAACTCACTTGGTAGCCCAGGCTAGCCTCGAACTCACAGAGATCCACCTGGCTCTACCTCCCGAGTGCTGGGATTAAAGGCGTGCACCACCACCGCCCAGCCGGAAGACAACTTTTTAATCTGGGAATTTCACGACAGTGGGGAAGAAAGAAGACAATGTAACTTTTATTCTGAGACATGATGTCATATGGTCCAGGTGGCTGCCTAAGGCCTAGGATGAGCTAAATCTGGTCTCCAGCTTCCACTTCTGCAGGGGCTGGGATTCCACTACAGGTCTGTGTGCCTTCCCCATCCCATTTTAGTTGACTTTGGGAATTGAACCCAGGGCTTCCGGTATGCCATGCTGGAGCTCTACCCCAAACCATACCAGCAGCATAAGAAAGATTTAAATAAACTCTGTGGCTTCTCTCTGAGGGACTTGGACTTCCCTGTCCACCCCAGGAATGGCAGGACCTAGGATGAGATGTCTACAGGCTGGTGGCTTCTCCCAGTCAGCCACAGGTAAACAATGTCCTCTTCTAAATAGAAAGTGGCTCGCAGCCAAGTGATGGTCCCTGGTTTTCAGGGGTGGTAGAAGCCACCCTGTGCATTCTGTTCTCCAGAGAACAGACCGTAACAAAGTAGGGACTCAAGCCCTGGCCCTTGCTCCCAGCTTTCCTTTCTCTGCTTGGCCTGTGGTGCCATCTCATCCCCATGGCAACGGTCCCCAGGACTGCACCAAACCCCAAACACAAGCAGGTCTGTCGTCCTCACATTTCTTTGTGATCTGCTTCGCCTCCTAGCAACTTGGATTATTTCGCCATTCTTAACCGGTGTTCCTGCAGGCCCTGACTGAGAGAGGTGCCGCCTCTGTGGTTGCGTTTGTGACCTTGAACAAGATCTTCCCCTTTGTAGGCCTCCCAGCCTCACGGGGACTGAAGGCCTCTGCTCAGGTATTTTCATGCTAAGTCACTTTTCCTCCAAATACACACTTGAATTGGGCCTTACACACCCAAGGTTCCCTGGCCCAGTTTATAGGTTATTTTTGTTGTCTGGTTGTTTGTTTTACATTTGCTTTTTTTGGAGGGCAGCATGTGCACACCACGGCATATGGATGGAACTTCTGAGAGTCCGTTCTGTGCTTCCATCCTGTCAGTTTCTGGAATCAAATTCAGAGTTTGGCAGCCAGTGTCCTTACCGAAACCGCTAACAAGGAAACGCAAGGACAGATCTGCTTGTCCTGGAGATTTGGTACGGTACTAGCCATCTCTCCAGCCTCAGAGTTCGCTTTTGATTGACCAATGCTCAACCCAATTCATATTTCATGGATCTTTAGAGTTGGGATCTTAGAGGCCACCTGTCACTTGGACAGTGAGGGTACTGAAGGCTGAAGACCTGTCAAAGGCCACACCACCTGGCTGTGGGAGAAGCAAGATGGAGCTCATCTAGTTCTTGCTCCACCTGAAGCCTTTTGGTTGAATTGGTGACAGCATTCGGCAGGACTCTCGGCAGAACTGTCCTACCCTATTAGGAAGCGACGGGAACCACCATGTGAGATGCACACGTGCCCAGCGGCAAAGCCTGCACGACCAGCCAGCTGAGCCCTGCTAGGTCTGTTTGAGCTGGACACTTGCAAGGGCACCCACCCTTCAGCTCTCATGGGCACCAACAAACCCCTGTGTGGGTTGCCTAGGACGGGAGGAAGTGGCCAGCAGTCACAGCTCAGGGTGTCGCAACCTCCCTAGGCCCAGCTTCCTCGTCGGTAAGCTGATGATGATAATACCAGCTCAGAGCTAGGAGGCTGCTTAGAAAAAGTGTGGCACATAGTAGGTACTCTATGGGGGGCGGGGAATAATCTTTTTCTCATTGCTATGATCAAATACCCATCAAGAAGCAACTCATGGCCAGAGAGCTACTCAGTGGGTACCTAAAGTACTTACTGCACAAGCCTGGGGACCTGACTTCAGTCCCCATAGGGGAAGGAGGGAGCTGGCTCCTCAAAGTTGACCCGTGACCTCCACATTCACACCTGCATGTGTATTTGTGTGCAAACACACACATCTTTTATTATATAATATTACTACATAATTATGCATTTTTAGATAACAATGCAGGTTTGTTTGTTTGTTTGTTTGTTTTAATTAGAACTGGGTTGGCAAGATAGTTCAGCAAGTAAAGGCCCTCGCCTCCAAGCCTGGCAACTTAAATTCAATCCCTGAACCCACATGGTAGAAGAAGAGACTCACACCTGGCCTCCGTAGGCATCTGCACACATCTGGTTCCGGCATACACACATATACATAAATAAAAATAAATCTCGGAGGGAAAAAAGACCATATCTCAAAAAGTTGCCAAGAAAGAGGATGCCATGGCTGGAATAGCAGCCTCCTTGGTAGACTACATGGTTTGCCCTTGGGACCTTGGAGACGATCTTCTAGAGATCTTCATGCTTCTGCTGTTGATGCTGTCCCCAACCTGGGCTCCAGACAGGTATGTGGGTGCCTTTGGGAATCCCCTGACAGTGGCCAGGGTTCACATTGGCCATGTCATCTTATCCATCTGCATTAATCTATAGAATAAAAAACAAATCCTTGAGCCCCTGTGTAGACACAAGTTCAAGTCCCCTGGCTGCCAGAAGATTCACATCTCTAGGAAGTAGGGCTTCACTCAGTGGCAGCTGAGACACGGCTCATCCCTGATGGCTGTGGAGTCAGTCACGGTCCCCTGGACAAGTGATGGGCCCTGTGCACAGACGGCTTCCACTGTGCTGTCCTATGCCCCACCAAGTCATGACTGTAATAAACCCCACCCAATCTGAGTTGAGGATGGAGAGAAGGAGGAGTCTCTGAGCCCCACTTTGAAATTGCTTCTGCTAAGTCATGTACTATAAAGATAAGGATGACCAGCTCCATCAGCCCACTTCATCACCCAGCCAGGCCTGATGCCCACAACCTCTAGTGAATAATCACATCATAGGGCTCACCCCGCCCCCAAACTCACCATCTACAAAGCCCAGTGCAGGCTGTCTGTGGGTTCTAGTCCAGTCTCTCTTCCCTCTCTCTCTCTTCTCTCTCTCCCCTCTCTCTCTCTCTCCTCTCTCTCCTCTCGCTCCTCTCTTCTCCTTCTCTCTCTCTCCAGGGTCTCACTATGTAGCCCTGGCTGTCCTGAACTCACTGTGTAGACCAGGCTGGCCCCAAACTCACAGAGACCTGCCTGCCTCTACCTCCCAAGTGCTGGGATTAAAGGTGTGCGCCACCATACTTGGCTGTCGCCACCATACTTGGCTGTCCAGGACTGCTGGACTCCAAGTTCAGAGTCCAGGAGAGGCTTGAGGCCTGGACAGAAGCAGCCAGGCCGCTGAGAGGGCGCTGGGAAAGTCTTTCCCGAGTGCAGAGACAGCCGTCTTAGGCTCACAGATCTGTCTGCCCCTTCCGCTCTCCTAACACAGTGTGGCCCCCTCTAGAGTAAAGTTGTATCCATACAAAACACATGCTCAGTTTTAACTCTTTATCTTTTCAGTTATGTGACATCTCAGAGCCTTAGTAGCAACTTTTGTAAAATGGTTATGATACCTCGTTGAGTTACGTATGAAATGAAAGAAAACATTATGTAAAACCTCTTGCCCAGGATCTAAAACATTACAGACATTCTACAAGTAGTAGCTGGGAACATGAAGTTGTTTCCAGGCTCTCAGCCCAGCCCAGCACTATGATGAGACAAGACAGACGGGCAGTCCTTTGCCTTTCTCCCTGGACCGCCTGCGCCAGGCAGGGATGGGGCACTGCTTTGTAGTGTAGACCTTCTACCTCGTGCCCAGCCAAACCAACAGCTCAACTGCACACGAAGTCAGGTATCCTTCCTCCTGCAGGCTTGGGGACCCAGATGTGGGGAGCCAACCCCTCAATCTCATGCCATGCTTTCTGTGAGACTGCTTCTCTCCTCATTCTTATAACACAGACAATGGATATAACAGGTGAAAACACCCTCCCAACAGCAAGGAGGCTGAGGCAGGAGGATGGCTCCAAGTTTGAGGCTAACGTCAACATAGAGAGACCCTGTTTCAAAATAAAATAACAACTATAATTCAACAAAAAATAGAGTTGGAGCTGTAGCTCTGTTGGTAGAGTGCAGACCCAGCATGCATGAAGGTCCAACCCCGCAGTATGTGGTGGTGCCCACACGGCCCTGGGAAACAGAGACAGGAGACTCAGGAGCTCCAGGACCTCTTGAGGAAATGGCTTAGTGAGGAAGTACTTGACACTCACGGAAGTACTGTGAATGCCAGTCAGGCATGGTAGCCCCGTCAGTGGTCTGCAGTCCCTGGAGTGAGCTGGTTGGCTAGACACGCAGAATCAAGCAAACTCTTGGTTCAAGTGAGAGACCTTGCCTCCATAT